TCGTGGAATTATTTGGAAAAAAAAGGCAAGCTGTGGTTAGTAACAAACTATTCAAGCAGTTTCTGTTTCTTTTTATCAGTACGTAAATTTATGTTTCTGTACTTTATTTTGCTGGTTGAATGGGGAAATGTTGTGTCATTTAAATGCTTGGTCCAACATGTTAGCAGGGCTGCATAAGAGACTTGAGTGAGTGCTCAGTCTCCTGCCTGAGAACAGTTGCTAGAGCAGGTGGCTGGCTGTTCACATTTCCTGGGGCAGCTCCGGATCAAATGCTGGTCAATGGTGGATCTCTGAGGGAGACCACAGAAACACTGCAGCTCTTTTTGTTGCTTCAATTTTGAGTCACTCAACTGCAGTTTTCTCGCTTATAGTTTCCTGGTTGGGCATGAGGAAGTTCTGTGTGTTTACCATAACACTACTTGGTCTAAGATGGGTTGAAATACAATGTGTTGGTGTGGCTGCTGGGTAACAAAACCTAGAGCTAAAGTTAGGGGGAGCTATTAGGCTTCGCTGTTCCACCGCAGCCACAGATCCACGAGTCCGCTGTTGTGGACTCAGCTCTCAGCTCTGTGGGGTGTCAACATAGCAGCGGACTCACGGATCTTTGACCGCGATAGACCAGCCAAGGCAGCTTAGTTATGATTTCGTTACCAAGCATGCTGGAGGTGCCTTCACTTTGGAGTCGATCTACTGCGATTTTCTTGCTGAAAAGGCCCAGAAAAACTCCGTTAGCTTTGGGATAGCATGTAGCTAATGTCCCGCTGATCTCCAGCTGTGGAGCAAGAGCTGATGTAAAAGGCCACGTTGCCCGGCTACGATCACAGCGGTCTGAGGCGCCGCTTTGTAGACCTCATGTAGAACTTGTAGCTGCAGCTCCATGTCAATTGGAGAGGTTGTTTAGATGAAGTTTCCAGATGATGCAGCTAGAGAAGTTAAGAATGGAATTTTTTTGGTACAGGGAAGAACACAATATTCCTGGCAGAAGAAACTTGCTGGACACTTAACTCTCTGTTGACCTCTGATATTGCTGAGGCGGGTTGTGGACAAATGACCTTGTTTGACTTCTCTAACGCTACAGCTCTTAATTTAACAGTCCCAGTCCATACGGTCTCCACAGACGACCAGCATGACTACAGCCTCTCACAGAAGCCAGTCAGAATCAGAGTCAAAAGCTTTTATAACCACATGTGCGAGAATCACAACATTAGGAAATTGCTGCAGTTCTTGGTGCTAGAAAAAATATAAATGATGAGCAAAATTAGAATTAAGAAATAAACACAATGAAATGATAATATGGGGAATCAATAATTAGAGACGCAGCTACTTTATACAAGTCAGTGTAGGTACTGGTTAGAGCGTATCAGTTCAGGTGCAAACACAACACATGGTCATGTGACTGAAACAAAGCAGATAGAGTGGGCAGTTCTATGATAGTCAATCATTAGTCCAACCACAGAGGGGAATAAACTGTTTTTGTGGTGAGAGGTTCTGGTCCGAATGGATCAGAGCTTCCTGCCATGTGGGTAGGATACCCCGGTCACCGGAGCTCTTTTTTGCTTCTTGGGTTAGCTAAGTTGCTGTGTTGGTTCATTTGTTCCAACCATGACATCCCCATCCTCAGCTCCACCTCTTTTCACAATTTTGGATTGTCTGGGTGAGACAGTACATGTGACTCTGTCAAAATGGCGATGGTGGGAACCTCTCGTTTGGGAAAAAAAACTTATAATTTGAGCCTACAGTCATGAATTGTCCAGTACATATGTTGATGGCGACGACTCACCCGGGATTGAGAAGACAGAGCAGACACACACACACACACACACACACACCCACACACACACACACACACAACCGACACACACACACGTTTTAAAAAAAAATCCATATTAAGACATTGATTTAGTAACTGCGTGTAAGCCTAACCCAAACCTTTACCCTAATCTTATCCAGTGAATTCCTAAACCTAACTGTAACAAAAATTCAGTTCACATCCAACCTCACCCCTAAGCCTAAAACGGGGATTCCACCATATTAGGGCCTTGTTTTGGTCCTAATAAGGCCCATCTGTCTTCAGAAGATTAGTGAATATGCCAGTTTTGGTTCGAAGTAAGATAGTTAAACAAGTACACACAAACACACATGTGCATAAACCTCCACATATACAGGCACACACACATAAGGCACACACACCATGTATGCCAAGTAGTGTTTTTATGGCTACATTGTGATTTCTTAGTAAATATTCTACTTAGTAAGATATAAACTTTATTGTTTTTATCTTAGTGAATCTATAATTAATTCAACAGGTCAGCTAGTAGTAGCACATTCCTTGTCAAAAAAAGTTAATCACAGAAGAGGGAGAATGTTTAGTGGTTAATAGCAGTGTGCTAGCCTTACACACCATTGTAGCTTCTTCTGCGGAGAAAAGCACTTAGAGAAAAAATAAAGTTAACAGCTGAAATAGCAGGAAATAATACAGATAAAGAGGAAATTGTAAAAGAAAATTGTAGAGTGTGTAAAGTGGTCAGTGTATCCTCCAGCAGTCTAAGCCGATAGCAGCATAACTACAGAGATAACTCTGGATAACCTAGCCTTTTAGATGGAGGCATGTTGGAGGCAGGGCAAGGGCGAGTCGTCTTTACCGACTGTACACTCCACCTCCCTCTACTCCCCCACTTGTCCAGATCCAGGCTAACATCAGATTTTAACCATAGGCCCTATTAACTAATCCGCTGCCAGCCGTTTCCTGATCAGTAAAGCCCATCGCTGCCAGCATTTCTCGCCGTTTTTACTGTTTTTTTAAGAGTCATAGAACGTTGCACACTAGGATGATGTCAACGCCAAAACAACCAAAACAAAGCGGAGACTCACCTCTTACATCAGGAAGAATCCGTGCATTTCGAGCATTATCCGTTCTTTCATAATCCATTGTTGAATTGTGATCGGCAGAAGCTTTTCCGGTTCGCGCCTCACATTTTTTACAGCAGCGGCCCAAAACGATTTCCTAACACATGGATTTTCTGCTTCCTGATGGCGTGACGTGTGACATATGCGGATGAAGATCGGCTGCAGAGCTGAGATGTTTGTTCTCATGGTGCGGGGCTCGTTCCAATGCCCACACAGTAAAAAAAAAAAAAGCGAATGACAACTTTAGTCGTCAATGGTAGTGAATGAGTTAAATGAAAATGTTTTAAGCCTAGTCTTGAAAGTAGACGAGATGTCTGCCTCATGAACTAAAGCTGGGAGCTGGTTCCACAAGAGAGGAGCCTGATAGCTAAAAGATCTGCCTCCAATCCTATTTTTATAAATTCTGGGAACCACCAGTAAACCTGCAGTCTGAGAGTGAAGTACTCGGTTAGGAACGTATGGAACAATCAGGTCACTGATAGAGCTTGATGATTAACAGCTTTATATATGGGAAGGAAAATCTTAAAATCTATTCTGAATTTAACAGGCAGCCAATGTAGAGACAGGCGAGACATGATCTCTCTTTTTAATTCTCATCAGAACTCTAGCTGCAGCATTTTGTAGCCTGGTCTGCCAGGCTTTGTCTATGCCACACAGAGGACGAGTCTGGATACTAAGAGGCAGAGTACCCTAAGGGGCGGGACTAGCCAACTAAAAAATAACCAAAAAGTGGAAATGACGACTGTATTGCGCAGTTCTGTCATTTTTTAGCTGTAGTCAAAGATGACATCTGGCAACCGTGCAAACATGTTTCTTTAGAAGAAAGGCTTTTAGTGCCTCTTTTGTTGTGGTTTTAAAGACATGTCCAAGTTATTTAGAACAGAGGAAAGCCGCATCAAACTCCGCTTCAGACACTATCTTTGTGGTTTGAGAAACTGAGTGTTGCGGTGTGTGACGTACGCTGCTCAGTGCTGATTGGCTTGGTTGGAATTCTCAAGAGGTGGGGTTGTTCAAATGAGAGCATTAATAGACCCTTTGTTTCCCATGAGGAAGCAGGGGGCATGTCTGGCCAAACTAAGCATTTTGGACAAGCTGAGAGTAATAAATTACAGTAATTCAGTAGTGATGTAATACATGAATGAACTAGTTTTTCAGCATCACTCCTGGAAAGGATGCTTCTAATCTTAGCAATATTCTGAAGGCGGAAGAAGGAAATCCTACAAACCTGTTTAATGTGGGATTTGACTGACATGTCCAGGTCGAAGATAACACTAAAGTTCTTTATTTTGTAAAATACTTTGTGAAATACATTCTCAAATAGAAAGCAAGATTTTCATGACATAGATCATAGATCATTCATAGATTGTATGTAGTAGACTGGACCTGATTCGAATAAATGACGTTAGGCTGGTTTGATTCAGTAAAGCAGTTTTAAATAAAGTGTGTGCACGGGGGTCAGTGACTATGTTGTTAAGTGCCTTGGGTGGTTGCAGAATTTTAGAAGGAGCTATATCAAATACAGGCTATTTATTATTGAGCAGAGAACCTCTCACACCAGTGGTGTTCTATTGTTAAATATGTGAGTGTGTAATGAGTGGAGGATCCAGGGCAGATCCAATTATTGGTTTTAGTCCAAAAAGTGTTATTGGTAGAGGTTCTAGACAAATGTGAAAAAACACTTTATTATTAAAGTTTGTGTTTTGTTTTAATATTCTCCACAATGTATTTATAACAATAGTATATTAGAAAGTTGTTTAGAGGCTTGAAAAAATGCTTTACGCTAGCTTGCTTTTTTTATTTTTATTTTTTTCGCTAGCTTGTTTTTCAGATTTGCTTTTGTAGCGTTAATGAGATCACAGAAATACATCCTGCCTTTACGTACATGAACAACACATTCAACACTTTTCAGAGATGTTCTCCTGGTTCAGACTGACAGTGGTCGTAAGCATCCACATAAGGGAGTAAGAAAGTGTATGTTTCATTCACAAGTTGTCTTTCTGCTCTCATGTGTTTACCTGAAGGTTGTCTTTTGCCTAAAACCTTTTCAAACTTTGTTTATTTATTCTTTATTTTTTCACTGTTTTCCATCTCAGGTGAGTCGTTGCCATTAGCAACGTCCAACCAAATCCTGATCCGCTTTACCGCCAAAGGCCAGTCCAGCTCTAGAGGATTCCATCTGGTCTACCAGGGTGTGTAACACACACACACACACACACACACACACACACACACACACACACACACACACACACACACACACACACAGTGGGAGACTTTAGTGACTGAGTTTCAGCTACCTGTGTGGAAACAGGTTGTGCTGAGAACACAATTATATTCTAAATGACTGTTTTCCTTAACTGCTGCACTATAAGAGTTGTGACATTTACCGCAGATATCCAAAGGCAGCCCCGGCTCTCAGGGAACTTTAATGAATAAATCATTCATTTTTGCATGTTATTGTTAGTAAAAGCAGGTCTGCCTAGGCAACCATAGGTTAGGTAATATAGTTTCACTAAATATTCACCTAACCTGTACACTTTTAGCTGTAATGATAGAAAATTCAACCTCTAGCTTCTTTTAAACTGAGGTGTTTGAATTACATTACACAAGTTGACATCAAACAACTACAAACTAAATAAAGATTAATATCAAAGATCAAAGTTTAATAAATAAGGTATTTCTGAGTAAAACAGAACCTGGTCTCTCCATGCCCACAGCTGTACCACGGACCAGTGCTACCCAGTGCAGTTCGGTCCCCGAGCCCAGAAATGGACGCCGCATGGGCAACAACTTTGGCGTGGGCGCAGTGGTGCGCTTTGAGTGCAGCCCGGGTTACGTACTGGAGGGGTCAATCGCCATCGAATGTTTACCAGTTCCTAACGCCCTGGCTCAGTGGAACAGCTCCATACCCAGCTGCATAGGTAGGAAATCCATACAACACACACACACACACACACACACACACACACACACACACACACACACACACACACACACACACACACACACACACACACACACACACAGAGAGAGAGCTACAACAGCTGCTGAAACCAGATGTGACTTTCAGTAAAAAGCAGCAGAAGCTTGTTTGTGGAGTAAAAATGATTCTCAGAAGGACGTGTCTGGTATCGGGAGGTCGTGTGCTGCATTTTCATCAATCAATCGATCAAAGCTTTATTTATAAAGCGCCTTCCACGACCCTGTCGGGAAGCCCAAGGCGCTGAACATGGTACATGAGAAATGGGAAACATGATGAATAAATCGAAAATAAAAGCAATTCAAATACTGCAAAAAAGGTAAAACATTAAAGTTGAAGACAAATGGGTAAAACAAGGGATAGAGAGACCAATGAAAACAGGGAAATAAAATCAAAATAAAAGTGGGCCAAATTCAAACACGTTCAGGGAACGCCAAGCGGAGGAGGTGGGTTTTTAGGCGACTCAAAGACTGGCAGAGATGGGGGCAGCCTAACTGAGGGTGGCAACTGGTTCCAGAGTGACGGTGCTAGGACTGAGAAAGCCCGGTCCCCACGAGTACGACACCTAGAGCGAGCAGGCCTTGGTCAGAGGAGCGCGTGATGGGGATTGTCTGTTCAGGAGTGTGGCTAGATAGGGGGGAGCACCACCCTGGAAGAAATTGTAAACAAAGAGGAGTTTAAAGTGTGAATGATAACAGACCGGAAGCCAGTGCAAGGAGGCCAGAACCGGACTGATGTGGTCCCGTTTCATGGTCCCAGTCAGGAACCTGGCTGCGCTGTTCTGCACAACCTGTAGGTGATGCAGTGATGACTGACACAACCCTGCATAGAGAGAGCTGCAGTAATCAAGCCTAGAAATTACAAAAGCATGGAGTACCCGCTCCAGGTGGGCTCTCGACAGCATATGCTTGATTTTTGCAAGGCGTCTCGGATGAAAGAAACTGGACCGGATCACAGAGCTGATGTGAACATCAAATTTAAGTCTGGACTGGATAGAGAGACCTTTCTCCTGACACAATGGAGAGTAAATCTGGCAATCATCAGCATAGAGATGGAACGCTAGGCCATGTTTACGAAAGATTGACCCCAGATTCATGGATTCATGTACTCACTAGCGCTGTGTTCATGTTTCACTATTTTATATCCCATGCAGCTTTTTAATCTGTCTGTTATTTTATCTAAATGTGAGTAAATGATGTACATTTTCATGTGTGAATGTCTGCATGACCATGAAGAAACTAACCAGCAGTCATATGTCTGATCCCACAGTCCCGTGTGGAGGTAACCTGACCCATAGAACCGGAACCATCCTATCTCCGGGCTTCCCCGAGCCGTACCTCAACAGCCTGAACTGTGTGTGGAAGATCACGGTCCCAGAGGGATCTGGAATCCAGGTTGGTTCCTGTGTAGGATCTTCTGGAGTTAGCATGAACTGCTAAAGCAGACACAGATACAAGCAGGTTTAAAGTCTGACAACAGACGTTTCTAAAAACTACTAAAAATCCACTACAGAGAAAAGATGCTTGTGTCCCAACACATTGCTGTGTTGGTGAAAACGCAGAGATAAACGTGAAAAGAGACCCACACGTCTAAAGTAATCTGAGTAAATGAATTACATTTATTAGAGAAAGAAGCAATCCAAGCCAGTGTGACGCTGAGAGGAAAGCTCAGTGCTCCTCATAAAGATGTAACCGTGTTGTTTGGAGAGCTGAGTCAAACCCAGACCAGATCACTGCCAGAGTCTCCAGTCTGACAACATGAAGGAGGTGAAAGATCTCAAATAGCAACACGTCATGTCCTCTGCCAACGAAATCCAAGAACGACACAACCCAGAGCATCACCTACAGGAGATGTTATAGTGATACAACACTGCATACGGCCCGGCTCAGCCTGAGAGAAGGTTCTGTGGACCGACAAGAAAACCATATAAAACTAACAGCATCACCAGACATCGTGGTGCTAGGGTGATGGTCTGGGGCTACTCTGCTGTTTCAGGACCTGGACCAGCTGCTGATGGAACCATGGATTCTGCTCTCTAGCAGGAGAACGTCTGACCTTTGACCTCAACAGGCTGTTTCTGCTGGAAAGCGCTCCCACTTGACTTAATTAAAGCAATTCTGTAAAAAAAAAGGGGGCCAGATTAGCAGAGCCGCTGGGTTTGGGGGCAGGGCAGTTTCTATTTTTCAAGATTCAAAAGTGCATTTTGCTTTTACTCGGGTCTTTCCTGTCTGAATAATTCTATAAGGGACCAATAGTTTTTCTGTCTAATGAAGTTCTAGCTTTCAAAGCATCGTGCTGATGGGTTTTCAGGTTTCTGATCACATCTACACACACACACACACACACACACACACACACACACACACACACACACTATTCTGGGCTCTCTGGGTGCTCCAGAGCTGGTGGGAAACTGACCTCGCACCAAGTCAGAATTTAATTTTGCAGATCACTTCAGCAGAAACTCCAGATTGCTCCACCTGAAATATATTCATATGTGAGCGTCTCTTCAGTTACCTTGTCTTTCTTTCTTGGGAGTTAATTGGGTTTGCATATTGTTATTCTTTGATGCGTGTGGGTGATGGAAGGTGGTGGAACCTGGGCCAGATCCCTGCGGAGCAGCTTTGGCTGGGAGGCTTTAGCCTGTGTTTCAGCCTCGCTGTTTAATGACCTCAGAGGCATCCCTCAGCTATTAGCTCCCCCTCCTCAGCTGACTGTCCTTGCAGGTCAAACTCACGAGATGGCCCACAGTTCTACTTAGCATGCTGCTCTCCTCGCTCAGTCTGCAATGGCAGAAAGTGCACACAGAGAGCTGACAGAGTGCACCAACGCCTAAATAAATCTCAGATCCTACACATCGTACTGCCTGTGGAGCAGTCTGCTAACACAGTACAGTACCTGTAGAGAACGGACAAGCATGCCCGTTGGAGGTTTTTTGTTTCCACACAGCAGAGTCCTCCCCACGCCAGCTGGTTTCTGTTTCACTGCTGTTGCTCTCGTCCAACAGCTCCCAGAAACACATTAGACTGGAGTGTCATGATCCAAAGGAGAACTTAAAGGAGCGAGGTGCCTTGTTGGCACATTTGCCGCGGCCTCTAATGAAAGATCAATCTGAGACCTGCCTCGTCTCCCCGGGAGCCCGGCGGCCCCTTTAATCGGCTCATATCCGATCTATAACCATCAGCAGAGGAGAGGGTCTGTATGGAGGGGGAGCAGAAGTGAGGGATGGCACAAAGAGGAGTGCCGGAGTGAAGCTGTTCTGGACCAGGTCTGAGGGTAAATACGCAGCACTGTTCACTAAACTATGTCACCCTAACCCTAAACCCATCAGGATATTTTTAAGTTGCTTCATTTGGACCACCGCTGCATCAAGACTGCACTTCCTGTAGTGTGCAGCTTCAGCTGGTTACTAGCAGAAGTAGACTCAGGATGGTTTTATGATGGAGAAAAAGAAAGAAGCTGCAGCTGACAGTTTTTTGTTCATTAAAACCAGCCTCGGAGGAGCGAGTCACTGTGAGCACCACCACTTTAGCTGCGTTCTTCTTTAGTTGGCAGCTTTAATCATCTCACATGTCACACTTTATGTTCTTTAAACTCAAAGTGTTTCAGCCCAGTTCTCATTAAGCAAAGAAGAAATGAGTAAAGAGTGTTGACTCAAGGGGTTTTTCTTTCTTACGGTTTGTCACGTATTTATAGCTGTGTCACAGCCCTCCTATCTGCCGGTTTGAAGTCAAAGTTAAAAACTTCTCAGCTTTTTGCGTAAATCTTTGTGTCATCTCCACCTCCGTAATCGTTTATCTAATGCCTGCCGCCTCAGATCTGCTTCCTAAACCCAATCCCACTTCCTGTTCCTGCAGCTCCACTACTTTTTATTTACCCTCTGCTAATTGTGTTTCTCTTCCAACCGTCTTTCTGCTTCACACACCCTGTCACAGATCCAGGTAATCAGCTTTGTCACGGAGCAGAACTGGGATTCTCTGGAGGTCTTCGATGGAGGCGACAACACCGACACGATGCTCGGCAGCTTCTCAGGTGCTGCTGCTGCTGCACACTCCTTTCGTTTGGATGCAACCCCAGTTTATGTGAAACAACTCAGTCCTGTTAGCCAGAGTGGAAATGAAGACGCCTTAACTGTATCTGTAGCTAGAAAAACGTGTCGCCCATAGGGTGACTGTTTAAACAACACAATCATCTGGTTCTGGTCTGTCCTGAAAGAGTCTTCACTAATGATGTCACTTCCTGTAGGCACCACCGTCCCAGCTCTCCTCAACAGCACCTCCAACCAACTCTACTTTCACTTCTTCTCAGACATCAGTGTGTCTGCAGCTGGATTCAGGCTGGAGTACAAAAGTCAGTGGAAGTCAAACAGGAGTTGTCATGGTTTCATGTGTCTGTATTAGATTGTTTCTGTCTGTGTCCTCAGCCGTGTCGCTGACCAACTGCCCAGAACCCGTGGTTCCTATGAACGGGATCAAAGTAGGGGAGCGTCTCCAGATGAACAACGTGGTGTCCTTTCACTGTGAACCTGGTTATACTCTACAGGTAACCTTTTCTGGTCTTAAAGGAGCCTAACTCTAAAGCGCCTGAGGGGGTGGTTACCCTGGAAGGTGCTGCGTCAAATACAGACCACCTAGCGTTTACTGGGTGAACCCGTGAATGCCTGTAAGGAAAGTCTAAGATCTTCCTGGTGGAAGACCAGACACCAACAGGTCTGTGATTGACAGGAGCCACCTGTTCAGGTAACACTGAAAGCTACTCTGCTCCAAAAATAAAGAGAGTATTTTCATTTCTCTGGTGCCACGGAGACAACAGAGGCAGGGGGAGCCGACCGCCCATCAGAAAACCCAGCTCCAGGGTTGTTCTGCATCCTTCTGCAGAACGCTTTTAATGAATGAGGAATGATTAGAAAGGCTCATGAAACATCCGATAGAGGACACCATGAAGGTCATAGATGGACATCATCGACTCTTAAAGCTGAAACCTTTCATTTACCGCAGTTTCAGCCTCTGGCTTCACACACACACACACACACACACACACACACACACACACACACACACACACACACACACACACACACACACACACACACACACACACACGCACACACACACACGCACACACACACGCACGCGCACACACACACCAGAGGTCAGCAGTAGGACACTCAGACTGCTAAAACACTCTGTAGCCTGCTTCTCTGTAGACTTTTATTTTCACACAATGTTTGATTTTCTCTTTCATTTGATTGTTTCACTTTGTGCCTCTTCTTCATTTTTGTTACATCAGAGGGATTTAGTCATTTAGTCGTGTGGAGAGAAGCAGCAGGCTGGCTGGTGTGAGCAGCAGATGAGTGACAGGAGGACGGACAAGTGCATTTATCTTCTCTATTGTGTGCGTGTGTGTGTGTGTGTGTGTGTGTGTGTGTGTGTGTGTGTGTGTGTGTGTGTGTGTGTGTGTGTGTGTGTGTGTGTGTGTGTGTGTCTCCTCACAGGGGAACTCACACATCACCTGCATGCCTGGAACCGTCCGACGGTGGAATTACCCCCCTCCCCTCTGCATAGGTAAGGCCTCCATCTCTTGCCCGTTTCCTTTCTCCTGATCAGCGGTTTCAAGCCCCTCCCTCTGTGCTCTGACGCCCTTAGGTCCTCGTATCATTCTAGATAATAAAAAAGAACCACCTGACTTCCAGGTGTCAGCCTGAGCTTTTACTCGTGCAAATGTGGTGTTTGTTCCTACAACAGGAGCAGTGTGAAGCTCCTCCTCCCCTCACAGGAGTCTTTCTGCCTGTGACAAATGAGCTGTGCTCCCTGAACAACCTACCATTGCCTAATTAGTTCCATCTCAGGCTGTGATTGGATAAAACGAGGGAAGATTCATTGTGTTTACAGGCATCAGCAGTTTCCTGATTACAGCGGAGCATTTAACTCTTTCACAAACACAACGCTTCCCTCTGACTTCAGGTGTTTGTGTCCCGTCTACATCTTTATCTTGTCTGGGTCTGCCTGCGTGTTACACTGATAATTTTACCAGGAAAATCTTTTTTCCTCTTCAGACTCTTTTCTAGAGTTTTATACAGGTTTGAAAAGGAAAGCTGCAGTGAATACAGCTCAAGTGATTTTTTTACTTTTTATCATTTTAGGTAATTGGGTTAAAAAATCTCTTTTTCTCATTTTGACCAATGTCTGCCTTTTCGTTTTATTGTATTCTGTTTAACTCATTTGTTCCTATTCTTTATTCTACGTGTAAGCCTGAGGTCCACCTCTGTTGTTCTGTCCTGTCTCAGGTCTCCTAAGTATATAAATAAGAATAAATGAGTTTTATGAAGCGCTTCTTAAGATAAAAACCATGAGGTGCTTCACAAGAACAAAAATGAAAAATAAAAATAAATGATTAAACAATTATATTGTAATAAAATTATATAGATTAAAATAATAATAAGGAAGAAAACCAGAACAAGGAGAGGAGGTGATGAAGGTCCCACCAGAGCCAGAACGGGTGAGTTTAAAGGAGACCACTGAGTCCACTGATCTCAGACTCAGGGGGAGAGAGGTCCAGAGTCTGGGGGCCACAGCAGCAAATGATCTGTCACCTTTGGTCTTTAGCCTGGTGCTGCACCAGTAGGCTTTGGTCACTGGACCTCAGGGACCTGCTGGGGGTGTAGGGACTGAATGTAAGATGGTGCTTGTCCATGTAAGGCCCTAAAGACCAGAACCAGGATCTAGAAATGAACCCTGAAGTTGACCAGCAGGGTGGAACTGAATTAATGTTACCAGAAAAATTGGGTGTTTGCTTTGGTGGCGTTTGGGTTTTTATCATGATGCTGTTGAAACATCAGTTTGGGCCTGATGTTTGGGGGATGAGCTGTGAGCTCTGTAGTGAGTTTTGGACCCTATTTGTTTTTTAGAGTGGTTACTAAAATGATTTTTCTGAACTCTTCCAGCTCAGTGCGGTGGGATCCGTGAGGAGATGGAGGGAATGATTCTTAGTCCTGGTTTCCCTGGCAACTACCCTAGCAACAGTGACTGCACCTGGAGAATTTACCTGCCCGTTGGTTACGGTGAGCGGCATTAGCCTCTTCTACAGCGTCTGATGATTCCTCACTGAGGAACCTGGAGTGGTGCTTAATGACTCAGATATAATAATAGATCCCCTCTGGGATCAATACAGTATCTTTGATTTGATTGATGACTCAGATATAACAAATGTACACGCTGTATTTCAGATCCCAAACACGCTTTCTTGTTTTAAAAACAAAACTTTTACTGTTTTTCCCCCAGGAGCTCATGTCCAGTTCCTTAACTTCTCCACGGAGGCTAATCATGACTTCCTGGAGGTCCGTAACGGGCCTCTTGACACGAGTGCAGTAGTTGGTCGATTCAGTGGGCAGGATGTTCCCTCCTCCCTTCTCACCACCTCCCATGAGACAACAGTGTACTTCCATAGTGACCACTCACAGAACAAACCTGGCTTCAGGTTTGAGTACCAAGGTGAACCGTACTTCCTCCCTTACAGATTTATTCAGTCGTTTGTTTCGTCCAGAATGGAAGCGTCACATTTCTCAGCTCATGTTTGTCTGGAGTAGATTTACTGTGTAAATATTAAATGTGAGATAAAAACAAAAACTAGGATTACTATTACAGCAGAGTACTACACAACAGTGGGAAAACGCGTGCACAGCTCTCATGCCTCCAGCCTTCATCTTCACATCATCAGCTGCTTCGTTGTGTCGAGTGAACACGTTCACTTCTTATTCCTCTTGTCTAAATGAATAAACACAAACTTGGTGTTTAGTGATTCCACAAATGAGCCAGCAAATCCAAAGGTACCATTGTGCATTTACATAATTATGTGTAAATTAGCATATAAATCAAGTATTGTGTTTGCTGCTGCCCCCCCTCTGCAGCATTTGCATGAGTTATCTGCTACAAAAGCGAAGCTATGATCCATAGAAATCAAATCCTTTAGTCGTTTTATATTCCTGGCCGTTCATGGCTCACTGCCGGCTCAGGATTTGTATCCTCGTGGTGAAAACGATGCCTTCCATGACTGCACGCTGCTCCACCGGAACAAGCCAAACCCACCCAGCAAGATTAAACGGTGGCAGCTTTAACCATGCCTGTGCTGATGCAGATGGCATTAACGATGCATTTATCAATAACTCACCTCGCTTTTTATTTCTTATTGTGTTTGTAGCCTATGAGCTGCAGGAATGCCCAGATCCAGAGCCCTTTCATTACGGAGTGGTTGTGGGCGCTGGCTTCAACGTGGGACAGTCCATCTCCTTTGAGTGCCTGCCTGGATATCAGCTGGTGGGTCATTCCATCCTCACCTGTGAGCATGGCACCACTCGCAACTGGGACCACCCATTTCCTCGCTGTGAAGGTAACTGGTCCATGCTGGGATGTAAAGTAGTTTCAGACACGCGCGAAGGCAGAACTAAAGCCATTACTTGATAACTTCCTGTTAAGATATTATTGAGCTTTCACATCATTAGCGTGAAACGGAGATAATGATTATCTATTATGACTAGCATAATGAAACTGAATTATTATCCCTATTAATGAAGCAAAGTAGTATTCAATGAGAATCAATAGCATGGTGTGGAGGGGTCCAGACAAAAACAGGTGAATAAAGGAGGCTAGATGGAAAGTAAAGTAATAGCTGCTCTTTCTTTGGCCATGCCCTTGACACACATTCTCACGCTCCAGCTGTCGATTGTTCGGCAAGGCAGCAGAATTACAGAGGGGGTGGTGGCCATGGCACTGGGACTGGGACAGGAGGTATGCAGAAACAATAATATTTGGTGATGACAGCACTCGCTGCTCCCTGGTAAAAAAAAAAAAACATTGGGCTGGGATGTGTTAGGCCTAATGAATTCTCAAACTAATGCATTAATAATTAATTAATATATGGTTGATATCACTTTAGGCCAACCACAACTGTGCATGAATTTTGTCAAGCTGCATCAGCCTTGGACTCGAGGCTGCTGCAGCGCGGGCCCAGGGGGGAGGAAGATGGGGTAACATTGGTTTTACGGGCCTGGGTCGGGTTTTAGAAGTCTGATGCTGAACAGAGTAGTCCTCAGTAAGTAATTCTGGTGACCGTAAAGTGGTGTCTGCGTTAATAGCTCATTAACACTAATCCCTTACATGCAACTTGTGTTTTTAACTCACGATGAACACACAGACTTCCAAATGTCAGTATTCGTATATGAGAATGTAAAATTGTCATTTTGACATCAATAAATAGAAGAAAAGAATATGTTGTGATTTAGATTTTAGACCAAAGGGCTTATTCCTACCCAAATAACAATAATAACAATCCAGCTTTTATCAAGAAAATACGTCTGCGAGTCGCTTTTAAATGGAAACCTGACGATTTCTGCCTTTACGTGTGAAAATGGAAAATGAGAATCAGTAAATAACCTGAAAGCTGAAACTAAAACCTCATTTATACTTCTGCGTCTGCGTCGGGCCGGACGCACACAGCACCATTATCTGTCTTTTTCCAGGGCTCTCCAACAGACTCCCAAGGACGGATGGAGTCGAGCTCTCTTTTCTAAACATCTGTCCGTCCAGACAGAGAACGCAAGCTTGTGGTTGGTCAGGACTCTGCTGTCGTCTACAGCGCCTCCATTGTGCCCTCAAAAGCATGAAGAGAGCCGAGGATTCTAGCGGCAGACACGGAGCAGCTTGAACAATAATAAACGGAAAAACTCTAAAATATGAACGTTTTATTTCCCCGTGACTGGAGGAGTGAAAACGCAAGCGTTTAATTGGTGGACGAAAATGACCGGAAACGTGTCCGTGTTACAAAGTCTCTTAAATGCAAAAAACACAATATAAACACACTATCTTGGACAGAACAGCGCTACGCCCTCTGGTGTCCTGGCGGGAAATTGCTTTGCAACACTCCCCAGGAGACAGAGACGTATGAGGACAAAACGTCTCCGTCCATGCATGTCTCTCTCTGGTGGAGCTGACGGAAGAGTATAAATTAGGCTTAAGACTCATTCCATGCAACGCCAGATGATTCAGCCTTTACTTGTTCTAAGTGTGATGATTATGGCTGACAGCTGAGGAATACTCACATTTACATGAAATCAAGAAAACAAGGCTTTAAACCTGTGGAGAGACATATATGTACCGTGTCCTTGGCTTGGCCCCTGCTGCCTACTGACGTGAAAGACCTCTGGCATCATGTTCTGGCATTTCGAGGTTCACCTGTAGTTTTACAACGTGACCACCATCTAGTTTATCCTAATAAAGGTAGCTAACGCTAACCCTGTGTCTGGGTTGTCTAACCCTTCTTCTTCCAAGCATCAGCCCCCTCATCCCTCACCCCTTCATCACATGCACCACAGCACCCATACATCTGTCTCCCTCCTACTGTAAACATCATCGTAAAGTGCGGGGTCTTAATGGTTGAGGAAACCGACGTGTGTTAGATCACGTCCCCGCTGCGGCAGGGCGAGCGCTGTGATTGGTCAACTCTGGTATGGTCCGTGTAGCCTGCGATTCCATGGCATCGATGATTATTTACGCTTACTTTTGACCACTGGCATAATCCATCATGTCAGCCGGACCTTGTCTAATCTCAGGGTTCTCAGCTCTTGCATTACAACTAACAAACCCTTTAAGCGAACTTAAGTGGCTTTGCTCCTTAGAAAGATAAACCTATTGATGTTTCCACATCCACACTGGACCCTACGGCTAAGAGACCTGCGCTTTAGTTTCTTCTACTGTCGTATTTACATAGATTTTCTTTAAAGGACGGAGAGACACCTCGTTGTCTTTCATCATTATTACAGCCTGTGGTGGTCGTTGGTCGTTTTTAGCTCCTGTGGATGTAAAACGTGCTTCTGAGGGAGAGTTTAACTCTACATGCTTTCAGACTGCTAGTTAAACACGGTTAGTTGCGTACGGAGCCTTCATGCTAGCTGGTTTCTGAAGAGCCACCTTTACTGTTTCAGGTTTTCGGCTGTCATCAGGGCCCTGAAGCTGACTCACTCACACATTTACCTTAAGTAGCTTGCTGGTCAGTGAGTCACCCAGAGATGCATCCCAGAGGCTTTAATCAGTCAGTCTGATCAATAGTTCATTTACCAGGTGAGGCAGGAGTGGGCTGGAGCAGGCATCTGTGTAATGTGAACACACACACACACACACACATGACCTGAGAGAGAGAGAGAGAGAGAGAGAGAGAGAGAGAGAGAGAGAGAGAGAGAGAGAGAGAGAGAGAGAGAGAGAGAGAGAGAGAGAGAGAGAGAGAGAGAGAGAGAGAGAGAGAGAGAGAGAGAGAGAGAGAGAGAGAGAGAGAGAGAGAGAGAGAGAGAGAGAGAGAGGCAGAGAGGCAGTGGCATAAAACACACATCTGCTTTGGCTCTGATTTTCCGCTCACAGGCATCTGTGCTGTTAAGCTGAATACCCTGGACGGGTAGTCTGAGATGCCTGCGCTGCTGCGATTACTACCCCCCTGTACGTTCCTGCTCCACCCCAGCGGATATGAGGGCACCAGCGGGAATGTTGCGCGCCTTAAATCTTAGAAATTAGAGCTCCAAGGAAGTGATTTTATGATGCTCCGTGCCTTTGCTTGTTGTTTTCTGATGGCATTTTACCGTGGATGTGTCTTATTCTCTAAACCTGGAGGCATCCAGCTTGTGTGTGTGTCATCATGCCTGACGTACGCACACGGTCTCAACCTTTACTGTCACACACTCATACATATCCAGTCGTTAGATACATATACTGCACACACACACCTCATCTCTGCCCTTCCTCTCTGCAGCCTCAGTGGAAAAGGGGAAGACCTTATCTTGGAAGAACACTCAGTCCAGCTCCCCACTCACTGAAAGACTTTACAGGCTAATCTCAGACAAGCGCCCGTGCAACAGACGGAGTGAAGGAGAGGGAGTAACAGACACCTAGAAGGGAAGCAGAGAGCGAGCAAGGAGAATGCACCTTTAGCAGCTGCTCTGTGTTTGTGTGTGTTCGTACAGCACTCCTGGCCCACTGACATGCATGTGCTGCTCCTCCTTTTCTGCCCCCGTTCGTGTGTTGTAGTGCCTTGTGGCGGAAACATCACGTCAGACAACGGGACCATCTTTTCTCCTGGATACCCCGCAGAGTACCCCAACTCAGCAGACTGCTACTGGCTGATTTCAGTGGCTCCTAGTTTTGGTGTCAGGCTGAACTTCACCCTGCTTCAGGTTCATGGGCCACATGACTTCATCACTGTCTGGTAAGAAGTCACAGCTGGAACACAGATGCTGTTTATAGTTTACGTATCTTTTATACTTCATTGTATATTTTTATTTACTCACCAGAACACCTTTTCAACTGCTTCTGAACACAAATATAAAAGCAGCCAATCAGATGGTATTTGAGAGTCAGCTGATCAGATGCCACTCCTCTCAGCTAAGACCAGGAAACGGACTCTCCTTGCAGAGACAATGAGGGGTTAGGGTCAGAACTGGACAAATGTGTGCTGGTTTGAGAGGTCTTTCTGCTCAAACTGGTTTCTTAATCATGGACTCCAACAGTCAGCAGGTCTCAGTCCAGTCTGGAAACTTTGGGATGTGCAGCCGACAGTCCTGCAGCAACTGTGTGGTGCTATCAAGTCAATATGGACCAGAACCTCTGAGAAACGTTTCCAACACCTTGTTGAATCTATGATGGATAGTTAAGGTAGTCCTGAAGGCAAAGAGGGGGCCAGCCTGGTGTACCTAATAAAGGGGCCAGTGAGTGTATACAGATGCCCAGTAAAGGGCCGGGACCTGCTCCAGAGAGATGCTGTGATGCAGCGGTGTGCTGAACATTACACCGATGTCAATAATAATGTTATAGCTCTGCACAATCTTCAAAAGTGCTGAACAGCAAAACAGTTTACAGGGTGAATGACTAAACGCGCATCCTAATTTTAAACAGATTAGTGATAAAAGCCTTCTATAAAACACAACGGCGATCTCAGTGAATGGAATCAGATTATGCTGGAGTCAGAGAGAAGTGAGTCTTTAAAAGCACCAGGCACATCTGATGTGGAGCGCTAGATCGTTCCACAGATCAGGAGCCGCGGCTGGCAAAGGCACGGTCACCTCGACCTCGGGACACTTAAGAAAATCTGGTTTTTGGACCTCAGTGTGAGGATGTATAAGGACCCGGAGATTGGGTACAGCCTTACGTGCACAGGTTAGGGCATTTAGGTGAGTCTTTGTTTCATCGTCTCCAGGATGGGGGGGCTGCACCTGCTCCACGCACCACAGAGACAGGATTTGGCACACCCTTTATCCTGAGGCAGCCTCAAAGGTTCCAGGTCTGTGAGGTCAGAGATGTTCCTACCAGGCAGCTTGACCACTGAGCAGACCCACGTTGTGTGGAGCTGAAATAAATCAGGCTTACACAGTTTTTATCAAGGCTTTCTGATCTTTGAGTTTTTAGGTCGGCGTTATTAAAAAGAGCTGGAAGCATTTGTTATTGTAGCATCATTTGCCTTGTAAATGTCACCAACTGTCATCATTTTTAGTGAGTTCCCAGGGAGCCAAGATGGAGACTATCACGTTCCCACTTCAGCTACCACTACTGTGGATCCATCCACCGAACCACTGAGCCAAGGAAATGGTCCCCATAATGGCGGCTTGGCTGGAGTGCTGTCAGACAGTAGTCCCTAGCCAGTCGTTTCCAGAGCTGCTTGTAATCTCCTATGCCCAGCCTGACAGCCAAAGACAGATGCTTTTTAAGCTGAATGGTTGTGGCAGGAATCTGGGAGCTAGCTTAATTGGCCATGCCCACACCAGGAGACTGCCAAGGCAGGGCCACAGCTTCCAGAGACACTCCCTTAGGATGCTGGTTAACAGGAGCAGCACAACCCAGACCTGTTCCGCTGCTCTCCCCGCCCTCTTCCTTATTCAAACATATTTACTCACAGCAAGTCAGTTTAATTGCCTTGGGTATGACTACGTGAGTGCAGCTTGATTAAAATTTGCTTCTGGAATCTTCTTGGCAAACATCTGGGATGGATCCTGCCGTTGTCACTGCATTGCTGCCTAGTTAATGGTCAGCAGCTGTTGTGTCCAGTGTACAGATGTATTTGAAGTTGACCTGTGACCTTTCTTCTGTGTTAGGGATGGTCCACAGGAGACAGCCAGGAAGCTGGGTGTGTTCACCGATGGAGAGCCTAATGACCCGCCCAGTAGCACATCCAATCAGGTGCTGATACGATTCCGTAGCAACACAGAAAAGGGGGGCTTGTTCAGAATTGGCTTTCAAGGTATTTGAATGATCTTACTTCATCTTTTTTTCTATCAGATCATTTCCACCAAGTATAATCTGAGTCCTTTCATCTCTTTGATGCTCTGAATAAAGCTTACAGACTGCAGCACTGCCTGCCTCCTCCCATCATCCCTAATGCAGAGATCCTGATGGCAAGCAAAGAATTCAAAATTGGTAGGTAGAAACTCATCCATATCACCGCTATCAAAGCACTGATGCCTTTACACTGCCCCATTGTTACTGGACTATTTTAGCATTTTAAACCAATAATCTCAGATTACATTGTGTCTTTGACAGTTTGCATTATCTCGGGTTCACTGACTGAACGTCCCATTAGACAGTTGTACTGCAGGTAGACTCACAGGGATTTGTGGGTCCTAGTGTAAATAAAGTAAACAGTCAGAACAATAAAGCTAGAGAGGCATGAGCTGAAAACAGTGGCATCCTTCCCCTGCTGCCTGTATGATTAGCATGTCACAGTCACTATGGTGGCAGTAGGAACTCTGAGCTGGGCGTTTACACTTAGAATCACCAGAGTGGGCCTTTTTTCTTTGTCTGACCAACGTAATCGTTACAACGGTCCTGTGACAGATTCACATTCTGTTGTCCTTTCTCCATCGCTCTGTTTGCAGGTGATATCGTGCGTTACAGGTGCCTTCCAGGCTACCAGCTGAGTGGAAACAGCATCCTGACTTGTCGATTAGGTACACACTTAGAGTTTGAGGGGCCTCACCCTCATGTGAAGGTAAGTGATTGTGTGCACTTGTATAAATATGTCTGTTAATGTTAAAGCCATGTATGGCAGGTGGTTGTGGCATTAAATCAAATATGCCCTTTTGCTGCTGCCAACGGCTTCAAAGGGTTTAATGACATCCCATCTAAAACACTACAGCTGCAGTCCGACTAGAACATCTGCATTTAGGATGTAAAACAGACATCTTTTAAGGTTTAGGCAGCAGTTTTAACAGCTGCAACAGACATGCATCTCTGGTATTCATGATGCACCTTGTCAAAAGGAATATTTCAGGTAAGAATTCAGTTCATGCATCTACTTCTGACTGGCGAGACTGATTGGAAGCTGGTGCTCTTCAGCAGATATTGAGTCAGAGGCAGGGGTAACCCTGGATGGGCATCATCCCTTTATGTAGAGACGGGTTAGCCGAACCCTGGTTTCACACTGGAAGCATCAGCGGCGCGTAACGGCAGCGGTTCTTTTCACACCGGGAGAGTCTTGGCAGCGGCATGGCTTCCTCGCTGGACTCGCATGATCACAAGATCCCTCGAGACTTCAGGTCACGGTTTGTTTATGCAATTAAGTCAAAAAGAAGGAACTCACGTTATCGCTGTTTGTTGTCACATATGATGTGGTTCCTCTCCACATCCAGGATTAAAGCCATGAAAGACACACCGCTGCTGTAAGTAAATAAGTTGTTGGGTCACACGTACGCTTCATATATATGAAATAGCCTCGCTACAGTGCTGTTATTTTGAAAATTACCAGGGATTTTACACTGAAACAGTGTGTGACTTCCTGTATAGCCCTATGTTAACTGCGGTAATTGACGTGTCCCAGAAGCGGCTTGCGGCAAACATAGAACCTGAACCTACCTTTAGCGGCGCGGCTGGTTAGAAACAGTCCACAGACTATGATGGATTCTATTTGAAGCAGTGACGTTCCGCTGCCGTTCCACGCCGCTGATGCGTTCAGTGGGAAGCCGGGGTAACCCTAACCCTCTATAGTCAATAAGAGTCCCTGAGCAAAGCTGTGGGGAAGATGTGAGAAAACCCACACTGGTTCAAGGAAACCAGAAAGATCTCCACTGGGATTCTAACAGTTGACAAAGCTTCTCATTGGTCCAGGACATGGCCGACCTTAGAGCGAAAAGGCAACTGGACTTCTCTTGTTTCTTCAGGTCTCTTCTCAGGAAGCCTGCACTAATAAACAGTGACACAAGAGGAGTCCTGTTGTCTTTTGTTGTCATATGTTTAGTGCTGGAAGCACTAACCACGGCTCTGTGGCCAACATTTGATAAATGCAGAAGGTTTATTGCGAAACATCTGAACGTGTCCGTGTTCCTCACAGGAATGGTTCTGATATCTTAGCTGTTTACTGCAGATTGGACCAATGGTGTTCTGGAAACACGAAGTCATTTTTGACTCAGAAAACTGAGCTATTGATAACTGCTGGGAAGATCTGAGCCAGATTTGACAAAACACAATTCTTTTAACCTTTATTTGCTAAAGCACAGATGTTTACCGGAGAGTCAGTCAGTAAAATTCCAAAATGTAAACATGATTATTGATGATTATGCAGAGCCTTTTAATGCTTCAGTAATACTCATAAATCTGCCACCCTGTGTGGATATCAGTAGTGTGAAGTTCATTAAAGGTGCCGGTAAAATTTGATATTCAGCTGCTGAATTATATTGGTCTGATCTTTAAATACCAGGGCCTCTGTAATCTGTTATCGATCCCATTAGAACCAGTTACACTTATGTAATCGTCACTGGCTTTTAGGGTGTCGTGCTGTGCACACAGGTGATCAAAATGGGTTTTAATAAAGTTTTTCTTTCACAATAGACCAGCTATACTTAAAGAGAAACATTAGCCATATTTGAATACACCGCACTAAAGGAAGAGAGGATGCTGCAGAATATCAGCCATTTGTGGTGAAATGTGTCACAACCCAGGTAAACGCTCCCTTCTTCTGCTGTTTGGGGTCATACGTTTTCATTTTTAGCTTTCAACGCACTCTAATTATAGACTTGAGCATCAGGCCGTGTTCCTGCGTCCCATGGGTGATGTTTCTGTCTGCTACAAATCACTTTGGTTCCTTCCCTGTGGATTTGACTCGGCTCCCAGGAGGTTAAGGGTGGTTCCTGTAATGTTATCTACATGCTGAGATACAGTCCTCCCTGAGGACTCAGCCTCATCTTAATACTATCTGCTGTGTGGAAAGTGTTGCCTTGGGGCACAAGACAAAGTGCATGGACGGGTTCCTTTGCCTTTTTGGTACATCGCAACATAATAACGGCATTTATCTTTCTTTCCCAATATTTGCAGTGTTGAGCTTCAGGTTTTAAATGTTTGGTGTCTCATCCTGTTATGTAGCTAGAAAGGCAGAGTAGGCCAGGTTTGACAAATGGGACTAATTTAGAGCACTAAATAGGAGAAAGGCTCTGGGAATCAGCTGAAAAAGGAGAGCGTGTTACAAGAACTTAAAGGAAGATGTAGTTTTTATGTTTAACAAAGAGCAGAGTGCTGAAGTGCAAAACAAAAAGAAGATTTGTAAGGACCAAAAACTCTATTTTTCCCATATCTTCATATAATATTTCTGTCTTTTTCATGTCAGTATGTACCATCCATCATCTTTTAACCCTCCACAAGTTCATTAGCATAGACACAAAACAGAGCAATAAAGGGGTGATTCACTGTTTATGCAGTTTGCAGATGTTTTTTATGGAAAGCAGCTTACAGATGGACTTAACATGCATGAGTTTGCTTTGTGGGAGCAAACCGGAGTACTGTAAAAAAAAACATGCTAACTCCACACAAAAAGGCTGCAGCTCAGATTCAAACCTGCAACCTTATTGCTGCAGGCCCATGGTAATATCACCTGCCCCATAATGCAGGTTAGCTTTAGTTACAGAGAAAACTGATGTTATTGAGAACCAAGTTTAAAGAATGAGCAGAAGGAGGGGAGGATTATTGAAAAGTGAAATGGTGAGAAACCGTTCGAGTTTGCTCTGGAAAAGCAGGATTTAAAAAGAATAAGTCAATTTAAGAGATTGAGGAGCCACCTCTACGTAAGCAGAGGAGACGGTAAGAATTGGACTAGAGTTTAAAAGTGAGATGAGAAAAGCCGACAGGAAAAGACTAAGTTGGAAGGCAGCAAAGAGATGGCGTGCACATCTCATTGAGATGCAGGGGACATGCTGGCTGCAGCTGCACCTATCAAATCACCACTTCTAGCCCTGACAGGCACAACCATTCCTGCCCATCTACAGGACCCACCCTCTATATGCAAACACACTCACATTAAATATTCACACACAACCACACACACACGAGCACACACACACCCACATGCACATGCACACACACACCCACATGCACATGCACATGCACACACAGGCACACACACACACACACACACACACACACATGCACACACACACATGCACACACACCCACATGCATGCGTGCACACACACACACACACACACACACACACACACACACACACACACACACACACGCACACAAACACACACACATACACACACGAGCGCTCACACACACACACACACACACACACACACACACACACACACACACATATATATGCATATGTGGTTTATAAAACCACTATGACTTGTTCGTTGTTTATGGGGACACACCTTTCCCTGCATCTGGTGAACCCAAAAAGTATGCTTTTTATTTTACCCAAAGTCTTACTTCAAAAATAAAAATAAAATCAGAACATACATACATTACACATTTCACATGCTTATGAGGTGGTGACAACATGGTGGTTTGTGGAGACAATTAGGGTTTATGAGGTTTTTTTTTTTTTTACAAATACTCTGGTTACTCACAAGCAGAGAAGCACGTGAGGGGTGGGACTAGCAAGCTCAGAAACAACCAATCAGAAAAAAGGCGACAATACCAACTGTACCACACAATGCTTTAGTTTTTAGCTGTAGTCAAAAATGGCATTGGCAACGGTGCAACACCCCTTTTTTTTTTAGAAGAAAGGCTTTTAACAGTTCTTGTTGTTGTGGTTTAAAAGACCTGTCCAAGTCATTTAGAACAGAGGAAGAGCCGCAGCGAACTCCGCTTCAGACGCCATCTTCGATGTTTATGAGAAAGTGAGCATCGCAGTGTGTGACTGCTCAGAGCTGATTGGCTTGGTTAGAATTCTCAAGGGGTGGAGTTATTTGAGTTATTGGAGCGTTCCCAGAAATAGAGGTGTTGTGCAGAGCCAAGGCCTCAGAAGTACAAGTGGTCAGTTGAGCACTTGGGCCTGTGACCATTTAACTAGGAGAGAGACTGGCAGATACCAGGATAAACTCAGAAATCTCTATTCAGAAGAGTGCAGTCCTAGGTAAAGGCAACATTTGTGCTCAGAAACCTCAACCTCATGCTACGTACAGCTCAGTTTTGGTTTATCCTAGTTGTCTTATCCTGTCATTCCATTTATATTTGGCAGAAATATATGTCTAGTTAATCTTGGTTTCACACTAGATTTGCTTTGTTGCTTGCTGTATGCTTTCCCTGCCAGCATTTTACACCCTGCAGTTATGAGGTGATTGTCTAAGGGTTGACAAGTAATTGAAGTTGCGCCCACATTTTCTAAGTTAACGCACATCTCTTCAGTGGCGGACTGGTAATTGGGAGAAATGGGAGATTTCCCGGTGGCCTGGTCATTAAACTGGCCTGCTCAGTGATTGCCAGTCATGATGTGCATAATATCAAAATGAGCAATCCGTCATGCAGCTCATCAGGGCATCTGCTGTCTTGATGCTCGCACAAACGGAGCAAACGGGGCACAAAGACACCCCTCCTCTCACTTTGTTGGGGTCTGGCAAAGCGCTGCAGACACCCACAACCCCAGAGTGGCTACAGCACCACCGCACCTTTGGCCCCAGCGGCAACATGGACCTAGACGGACCAGGAAAGGTGGAGCAGAAAAGGAGATATTGAAAAAGAAGAAAGCTCTGGCCACAGATGCATGTC